GTAGTACAGGTACTTGACACAGAATCCATATACCTATAACTTATAACAGCATACAATTAAATCATATTTGTTGGTAAAATTAAAATGTATTTGGAGAGATATACATGAATAGCGTTATTCATGTGATAGACTTACATATAGAATAATTAAAATAAACAAAAATGACATAAATTAAGACAGTCAGGCTATCGAGTATGTCTACGTATCTTTTATGAAATTTAGTGGTGTCACATTTAATACCTATATACTTTTTCAGAAGGATAGTTAAATATCAATATTTTTCATAAGTGCTAAGGGTAATACTATCAGTATATTCAGCCATGCGGGTGTTTAAGTAAAACCCTACCTATATTCTAATCTGAAAGCTTGTACCTTGCAGGCTATGCCAGCGTTAACGTTGTTGACCAGTAGGTCCAGCCCTCTGCACGTGTCCTCCAGGGATGTCTTCAGTTAAGTGATGGTTTCCGGCTTTGTGATGTCCAGAACGTGAAACTTAGGGTCCAATCCCTCCATTTTAAGGTCCTCTACGGCTTTAAGCCCAACAATCTGATTAAAATCATCTGTTACATGGCTCTGCCTGTAACAGATGATTTCAATCAGATTGTAAGCCCAAGTTGTTCCTCATTTCTGGCTAAATAACCATTAGTTTAAACAGTATTTTATTCAATATATGGCAGTGAAAGGATTCGAAAACAAGTACATAAGTGCTTATATCAATTCGTCTCCTTATTAATAAATCTGGCAGTAGGACGGCACTGTTACATATATTTTGATAGTATAACAGACAAAGAGACGAAGAAGAAATCAGTGAGGGGAGGGTGGGAGGTGTGCATCAGGAAATGTAAGAAAGTGGTTACGAAGAGAATAACGAGAAGAACTGCATTACTTGGTTGATTCTGGTTGAAATGTGATTCATGAAAAGTTAACCCTAATGAGCTCTATATAAGGATGCATTAAATACAATTTTAATCTCTAAATTACATATAAATTGCCTTACGTTGATTCCAATCAAAAAGTATACTGATATCCTGTAAAATACAAGAGTGTTTTAGTCCATTAATTTCAGTATCAACAAGACTCATTAAGTCTGAATATCATATACTGACGTGTCACAAGCGTTGTCGAACAACATAGGTTTCAAAGTTAATGTACAATGTTTAAACAAACGCAATAAATAAATCTTGCACTGAAATCGTTTCGACTTACAGATAAATTGTTGGACAGGGTAAAAAAAAAGAAGTTATATTGATCTGGCATATATCAGGATTTCCGTACAGCAGCAGATTTAAAAATATTCCCAGGAGGAAGATTTCTAAAACATTGCAATCTTAATTGTTCGAAGTTAGGACAAAAGAGGAGAAAGTGTTCAGTAGTTTCAGCAGAACGGTTACAAGAACACATGGGACTTTCAATTAAGTTACGTAAAAGCAAGTGATTATTAAGGGAACTACAGTTCATCCTCAGTCGAGCATGGTGAATTTTGCCAAATAACCAATACAAGTTTCGTTGTTCGGCCGATAACTTACAATAATGAACGGTTATTTCGAAACTTAAGAAACGGAAACCTTCCCAAATAAACAGAGTTCACAACATCAAGTATTTCCTTAAACTGAATAGATCATATGATGGTTAAAGGGGTATTTGAATAAGTTAAAATTAAGCAGGCTATTCGATGTTTTCCGATTCTTGAGTATTGGGTTCAAGAGTTACAATATGCTGTAGTCAATAGGGTGTCACAGTACACGAAGAATGTACCACGATATATTGCAATACAGAGTGAATATATTGCGATACATATCCCGATATATTGTCATAGGAAAGATGTGCTCGATTTTATAATAAGGTGTTGTCATAATGTTATCAGACTTAATCATATATATATATAATATCGATCACATAAAGATTTAAGATTGTTGTCGATTACAAAATTTGAACTAAGTCCCACAACTATTAAAAACCTCTTATCTGTTAGAATTTGTAGTAACTTGTGAAGTTAAAACACCAAGCAGATATATAAAAATAAGCTTTTAAATAGATATTGCGATACAGCAATATTTCATCTCTGTATTGTGGTACGATACGATATACCTGTCCTGTTTTCCGATTTATTGTGACAGTCCTAGTAGTTAACCCACATTTTTCAATTGTTGACTCATCCTGTCGAGATATGGGAGTGAAACATTTATAAAACGACCAGTAGGATACAACTTAAATGCCACTAGATCGAGTAAAATTAGTCTATGATAATTTGAAGTAAGAACCATTTATAGAGCATATCGTTACCTTACTTTCACTTTTATTTTTTGACCAAGTGACACGTAACTCTTACATGTTAATTCCGTCTTTGCGTATAGCAGAGTTATCTTCTCTTGGGAGCAGGTATTGATTGTTACGTCATTGGTTTGTGTGAGAGAATTACGTCGTTTTCTCAAAAATTGATGACGTTACTCTCACAAACAAGTGACGTAACAATCAATACCTGATCCCAAGAGAAGATAACTCTGCAATACGCAAAGACGGAATAAGACATCACCCTTGCCCTGTTAACATAGTCCTCGGGACTAGTTCAAAGCCTACGCCTTTATTGGACCCCGACACCTTAAATATAGAACAAAAGTGCAGTTGTTTATGCGTGACACCTTGTGCACGTTCGATGCATTGTTATTTTGTACATCGTAGTTAACTAACACAGACATACAAATGTAAGGTATAAATTGCCTATAAGACAACTGAGTGACAATGAGTTTATAATCTACACACTTCAAGATAAATAATATATATATATATGCCTACACTTAGCCGGGAGACCTACATATGTACCCGCTTTTCAGTATATACATAGTTAGATATATGGGGCAAAGAAGTAATTCCAACAGTGTGGACAAGTTTAGGTTGTCAAAAGTTCTGTTTCACTGTGTCTGATAAAGGAGCGGATCGCCCCGAACTTTTGACAACCTAAACTTGTCCACACTGTTGGAATTACTTCTTTGCCCCATATACTATTTTAAGTAATTCGTATCCTACGGACATACCTCCATTAGGATCCAGTGTTATATGGGATTTTACCGTCTATATTACTACTTTGACCCATAGTTAGATATATATATATAGTAACAAGTTTAACTGCCCTGGTAGATCCATGACAGATTTATTCTATTCTTCGAAAATAAACAGACTGACAGGATACATGATAGTATCTAGTTTATTATACATTTACAATACTGATAATGAAATAAATTGCGAATCATTTAAAACAATGAAAATTCACTCATTGTGTAACCGTTTTTTAATGTAGCGACGGTCGAGTTGTCTCCCTTCCGTTACATAATATAATTTAAGGATGCGTAACCTTTAAAATCCGTTGGATTAAATATCATTTGTATTGAAAATCATCGAACTATATACGGTGTTAATATATTGTAAATAAATGATGGCCATAAATTGTTATTCTTATATTAAATTACAATATATATAATTACACTTTTACACTACCTTAGCTACATAAGATATGACTTGTTGTTATAGTAAGCAAATTGCATTGCAGTCATGGTAAACGATGTTCTGTGCATTGTGGGGATTTAAGGAAATCGGGAACTTAAGTTCAGAGCAAATAACTTTGGGTGACGTCAATAGCGTGTGCCTTGCTAAGTTTGATGTTAAATAAGTATATCATTCTCAACAGTCACCATCTAAACAGTATTTGCACTATTCCGTCTTTTCGTATTGCAGAGTTATCTGCTCTTGTGAGCAGGTAAGGATTGTTACGTCATTTGTTTGTGAGAGTAATGTCATGAAACTTTGTTAAAACGACGTAATTTTCTCACACAAACTAATGACGTACATTATGTAACAACCAATACCTGCTCACAAGCGCAGATAACTCTGCAATACGAAAAGACGGAATTTGATTACGTCTGCAAGCATCTGTTTTCATACTCAGTCATTTTCTCTTGTTTGAACTAGTTTGGAAACTAATCATTCATAAAATAAGTATGTATGTATATCAATTTGTAGGAAACGAATTCTTCGGTTATTATGCATATGTTCTATTTTTAACCTTCTATTAAAGAAACTTCATAACCCCTGTATATAAGTTTGCATACAAAAACAGGAGACTGAGTATCCTAGATTTAGTAACCAGATCATAAACATCCAGACAAGTATTTTAAAGTGCATGTGTAAAGGTTGAACACACATCCTTAAATGAACCTCAGACACAAACATTGTCTAGTTATATCATTATTTATGAATCTCGTCCTACCTCAGAGATAAATGCAACCCTATTTTCAAAATTCAAAACATTTCTGATGTGCCACCCCTCTCCAATCCTCAAAATTATATGGGTTTGCTCACTCACATTCCCTGTACCCTAAGGCCTTGGAATATGTCACGAGGAAGTTGAAGCCTTAGTATGTATCATCTTATGTGTGTTATATGATTTAATGGATATCAAAAGAATTTAATTTGGGCGTCGCTCCTCTGTACTCTTCAAAGGACAGGTATTGGCATATCGATTGGTAATTTTTTGTTGAATGAAACCAATCAGATACTGCCCGCGTGTCTTCGAATTCGCCATGACATATTCAAGAGCATCCTCGATATCCAGGGGTTACGCTCACTTTCGCTCGGTTCAGTGTGCGCCAGCTTCTTGATGAGACAAGACTAGTTCAATCCTTTGATATACATCAAAAGAATCACGCGGTCAGGTAACGGTAAACATTGACAGGCTTTGAAGTCGGGCGACTCTGCTTTGTAATCTTCAAAGGACAGGTATCAGCCTAGCGATTGGTCAGGTTTTTTTTACCCGAGATCAATCAAACAGCTATCTTCGTGCCTTCAATTTTGCTATGACATATTCCAGGGGTGTAGAGAGCGAAAGTGAGCGTAACCCTTGGATATCGAGGATGAGATTTAGAGTAGTCTCTTGTTATCGGTATAACCCATAAACATTCATCACTCATACTTACATGTATGTTGACAAAAGGAGAAAGATGATCAGCTTCTTTGCAAAATATTTTATTTGTTGTAAATAAAAATGGAAAACACAATATCTATCAAAATATACATGATGCTCATTAAGATTGTAGAATGGGACACAACACATCTTTATTTACAAAAATAAATGTATAAACTATATATTACAAATTGTAAAATGATTAGAACAACCTTTTCCGTCTTTGCGTATTGCAGAGTTATCTTCTCCTGAGAGCAGGTATTGATTGTTACGTCATTGGTTTGTGTGAGAAAATTACGTCGTTTTCTCAAAAATTGCTGATGTAACTATCACATACAAATGACGTAACAATCCATATCTGCCCTCAGGAGAAGATAAATCTGCAATACGCAAAGACGGAATAACAATGTTAGCCTTCTCCGGTTTAACTGTTGCATGTTTCTTCAAATTATTTGTTTACATTATCCAGAAGTCTGTGGAAAGTTTAATCCAATAATTAAGAGAGAAAAAAGAAACGCTTACTTAAAAGGGAAATTTGTTAACAGTTTTTAGTAGCAGCTCACTTAACCACCAACAGGGTACAATGTCAGTCCGCCTATAGTTTGAAAAAAGCAAGATAAGCAAAATTCACTGAATTCATAGTTTCATAAACTTTAAACTTAAAACAGGCGCCTGTGTTACAACTTAACTTGGTTTGCCGTTTTTGCCAATTCAATCCATCACTCGACTCTAGGTTTCCTTTTCTACAAGTTGTATTTGCAGGTAAAATAGCAAGGTGGAGTGGAGTATCTGTGATACACAAGCGAGCAGTTCGAAATAAACAGGTATGGAAACAGCATCAAGGTATTTAGTACATCGTCAGTATGACTATAGTTTGAAAACAAAATGCAAGATAAGCACAATTTACTGATTTCATAATTTCCGAAATTTAAAACTTGATAATGTTTCAACTCAACTAGGTTCGCCTTTTTGGTCCATTTAATAAATCCCTAGACTCTTCTTTGTCCTTTCTGGTGATCTTTCGTTTAGAGGCTTGTTTTTTTCCTTGCTACAAGTTGCATTTCAAGGCAACATATGATACATAAGGAGCAGTCCGACAGATACATCTTAGTCCAATTATATTTTGATTTACTGAATTCATAATTTCTTGAACTTTAAACTTAACACCAGACGATTACTTTCAAAATAAAATGCTTCGTCTGTTGATCCGTTTAATTTTTTCCTATATCCTGTCTTATTCCCAATTGTCGATCTTTCGTTCAGAGACATGATTTCCCTTCGGGCTGATTGTATCCGGCGGTAACATAGCCAGGTAGAGAGGAGTATCTGCCCCTGAAATACACGAGTGAGCAGTCAAAAAATGTACAGGTGAATTCACAACAGATATCTTAAAGACATCCGTTACATTATTGTAACATTCATCACTTTTACAAAATAATGTCTTAACATGAAATCATTGAAAATTAAAATATCTTAAATAAATGGCAATTTTAACACGAATTTTAAAGGTTTAAATAAATGCATGCACTGTAGTAATTCTAAAAAAACAAGGATAAATTTTGGTTAAAATTTTCAGGTATGGGTACCACCACACAAGTTCCATAATCGTGAAAAGGAGTTTCATCTAAGAGCTTGATTTCGACTTTGAATTAATAGTTCTCGGTAAGAGTTACTGCCCTTGTAAAGGTATAATTCGCGGATAGCAACATTGATAAGAGTAGGGTTGGCAGTGTATAGGTTCCAAGTTCGATCCCTGATTGTATGTTTTCCCTGATTTTTTCCATTACTGAGATGGTGAGAGGAGTCAAATACTCTAATTCCACAAACAATACTACTGAAAAATGTATATAACACTTATATAAATATTTCATGATAGTAAAAATATAGATGTCAGAACTTGATGGTACTCTTTATCCAAAGGGGGTAATTCTTTTATAAAACACAGGTGTGGTGTAGCAGGTAACATACTTCCTTAAACATACGCAAGTCAGTACCAGCTAATATTATACGTGAACTTATTATAAGAAGTACATGTATTGAGTGAATAGGTTCGTCGAAGGAAGTAAAGGGAAATATTGTTCAGTTAAAAGACAGATATAACATGTCATAAAGAAGCATGTTACGGATAATTACACCTGTAAATTGTCGATATTAAACGCAAACTAATTTACAAATAATAGAATGTTCGTATTTACAATTTACAAGGGGGTCGAATAGATGTTTTTTGAAATTTCCAATAAACTAAAATCGGAGCAAACAAATGGTTTTCATTGTTAATTTTTTCTAAGATTATTAATTACATGGGTTATTTATTTATAATGCAAATTGTGAAGAATGCATTTATAATGATCTACAAACAAATCAGAGAGTTTTGAGTGCCAGCTCACCGCTCTGCAGTGAGAAGTAATTTTGTAACCATTTTGATGTGTACTAATAGCATTACCCAATACACACTTCAAACGTTGGACCCTCAGTCACAAAGATCAGAGGGACCTGGGAATTTGTTACAGCTATATTTGGACCTAAACTAAGGTGTTTAGAGTAATTTTACATGTTTTCGGTAAAAACGCCACCCCTGATTCTACTTATCATCGGGGTGGCATGCTTTCCGAAAATTGATATAAACCTCCCTAACGTGTACGATTACTCTAAACACCTTAGTCTAGGTACAAAAATAGCTGTAACAAATTCTCGGGTTTCTTTGAATAAGATGAAGAGTTCTACTCACCTTGATCGATAGTCTTTGTTCCTTTGTGTGATGTCATGTCAGTATCCACATAGCCCGGACAACACTGTAACATAACGTTACCTTATAAATAAATTATACTGACCACCACTGACCCCTCAAAAAAAATATCAAAAGGAAATTAAATTAATCAATAAATCATAAAAGTACAGATAAACAGTTATTCTTGTGAAAGGAAACAATAGTCATTTTCAAATAGCAGAGAAGTGTACACAATCGTTGCATTGGTAATTCGACCACAAGGAACCAGAACACTTAACATCTCCAGCATGCACCACACAGGCATACACACATATGGAGATATGAGCCAGGTGACATAGGACTAGTAGTTACCGCCTGATAAGGCAGCTCCTGCAAATTCCTCAAAATTGTATTGATTAATGTATATGTTAATTGTATTAATTGTATATCTATGTACTGTAAAGCGCTTAAGAGTGGCTTATGTTATCTAGATAGGGCGCTATATTAAATGCTGTATATTATTAGTATTTATTATTAAGATTGAGATCAACGAATCGATGTGTTTTAACAATAATTTTTCAGAAGATGAAAAGGGACAAAAAGACACAATAAATACATCTTTATGACCGTGATGTTACTCATCTGGCTGTAGTTATAGAATAAGGGCCGACCAAAGCTTTGCATATACAATGTTTAGTGTATATATTTTACACATCACATATATATATGGCTACTAATAATACAATTATATCATACTTTATAATTACTTACCGCGTTGACCACGAGGTCCGGCCTAGTGTCCTTGAGGAGCTCGCGCTGTTGGATGAGGGACATGGTAGTCACTCCGATCTTTGACGTCCCGTAGGCTGTGTTGGGCCAGCCCGCTGTCTGGTGAGAATCTGTTTTGGTTGCGCTAGGATGGGATGAAATTAAAAATCCATTTAATCAATATATCTTTAAATCATACAGACCTGGGGCCATGAAACATCCAGACACATGACATGTCTAAATTCGATTTTCCAAATTGTATGAACCCCATAAAAATACAACATTTGTTTTACACATAAATACAATTAAATCAGATTGTTTGTTGGGTTTTTTTGTTTTTTTTACCAGGAGTAATATATATTGCCTGTCAACCGAACTTCAGACAGATGTTAAGACTCTGTAAAGATTCAGAAGTCTGCTATAGGTACAGTAAGTACTCCAGGGAATACGCTCACTTTGTATGCATCCTTCTAAATTTCTATGCACATATATCTTATCATTATTTTCTTCCTCTTACATGTATGTATTCATACATCCGATATGTAAATAGCAAACAAGGAGAGAATACCGAATCGTGAACAAAACCATCATTCGAACTCAAAATCGATAAAATTAGAGCAAAATATGACGCAGGGAAGGATATAAGTTAAAATTTTGTTTCTGTATTTATTTTCAACTTTGAGCGTGGATGGTTTGTATGTAAACCGCAAAAAAATAAATAAAAAAATATACTAAACCTAAGTATTAACAAAACTATAATTCGAACAAAAAATCGATAAAACTACGGCAAAATATTTTATACTTCGAATGTGGATGGTTTGAATACTATGTATACCGGACATGATCGGCGACACAGATAAGAGATACTTACTCCACAAACTCCTGCATAAGAACTTTCAGGGCGGCCATAGACAGGTTAGGATCAACAAATTGTTTCCTCAAATTAGCACTACACTTTTTCAATCCCATTGGTGCAACCATGCTAGAGACGTTGACAACTCTGTAAGATAAAATAAACATACGAGGTTATGTTTGGGACATGAAACATATAACAAACTCTGCTACTACAAACAGCCATAAAGCGTCTCTGCTACTACATGTACAAACAGCAATAAAGCGTCTCTGCTACTACAAACAGCCATAAAGCGTCTCTGCTACTACAAACAGTCATAAAGCGTCTCTGCTACTATAAACAGTTATAAAGCGTCTCTGCCACTACACACAGCCATAAAGCGTCTCTGCTACTACAAACAGCCAAAAAGCGTCTCTGCTACTACAAAACAGTCATTAAGCGTCTCTGCTACTACAAACAGCTATAAAGCGTCTCTGCTACTACAAAAAGCCATACAGCGTCTCTGCTACTACAAACAGCCATAACGCGTCTTTGCTACTGCAAACAGCCATAACGCGTCTTTGCTACTACCATCAGACATAAAGCGTCTCTGTTATCAGCATATATGGTCAGCTCCGTCCTGATACTCTGTTAAAGAAGGTCGCTACCTGACACACTAAATTTCTTTTAGGATGGAGAGGAATAGCTAGCTGACGTCTAATTTTCCTTTTTGGGAACTTGCATATATGTCCGTGTAATGGGGCTATGGTCATAAGTTAGTCTACTCCCTGTCACAGTGTTGAGTCTACTCCCTGTCACAGTGTTGAGTCTACTTCCTGTCACAGTGTTGAGTCTACTTCCTGTCACAGTGTTGAGTCTACTTCCTGTCACAGTGTTGAGTCTACTCCCTGTCACAGTGTTGAGTCTACTTCCTGTCCCAGTGTTGAGTCTACTTCCTGTCACAGTGTTGAGTCTACTTCCTGTCACAGTGTTGAGTCTACTTCCTGTCACAGTGTTGAGTCTACTTCCTGTCACAGTGTTGAGTCTACTTCCTGTCACAGTGTTGAGTCTACTTCCTGTCACAGTGTTGAGTCTACTTCCTGTCACAGTGTTGAGTCTACTTCCTGTCACAGTGTTGAGTCTACTTCCTGTCACAGTGTTGAGTCTACTTCCTGTCACAGTGTTGAGTCTACTTCCTGTCACAGTGTTGAGTCTACTTCCTGTCACAGTGTTGAGTCTACTTCCTGTCACAGTGTTGAGTCTACTTCCTGTCACAGTGTTGAGTCTACTTCCTGTCACAGTGTTGAGTCTACTTCCTGTCACAGTGTTGAGTCTACTTCCTGTCACAGTGTTGAGTCTACTTCCTGTCACAGTGTTGAGTCTACTTCCTGTCACAGTGTTGAGTCTACTTCCTGTCACAGTGTTGAGTCTACTTCCTGTCACAGTGTTGAGTCTACTTCCTGTCACAGTGTTGAGTCTACTTCCTGTCACAGTGTTGAGTCTACTTCCTGTCACAGTGTTGAGTCTACTTCCTGTCACAGTGTTGAGTCTACTTCCTGTCACAGTGTTGAGTCTACTTCCTGTCACAGTGTTGAGTCTACTTCCTGTCACAGTGTTGAGTCTACTTCCTGTCACAGTGTTGAGTCTACTTCCTGTCACAGTGTTGAGTCTACTTCCTGTCACAGTGTTGAGTCTACTTCCTGTCACAGTGTTGAGTCTACTTCCTGTCACAGTGTTGAGTCTACTTCCTGTCACAGTGTTGAGTCTACTTCCTGTCACAGTGTTGAGTCTACTTCCTGTCACAGTGTTGAGTCTACTTCCTGTCACAGTGTTGAGTCTACTTCCTGTCACAGTGTTGAGTCTACTTCCTGTCACAGTGTTGAGTCTACTTCCTGTCACAGTGTTGAGTCTACTTCCTGTCACAGTGTTGAGTCTACTTCCTGTCACAGTGTTGAGTCTACTTCCTGTCACAGTGTTGAGTCTACTTCCTGTCACAGTGTTGAGTCTACTTCCTGTCACAGTGTTGAGTCTACTTCCTGTCACAGTGTTGAGTCTACTTCCTGTCACAGTGTTGAGTCTACTTCCTGTCACAGTGTTGAGTCTACTTCCTGTCACAGTGTTGAGTCTACTTCCTGTCACAGTGTTGAGTCTACTTCCTGTCACAGTGTTGAGTCTACTTCCTGTCACAGTGTTGAGTCTACTTCCTGTCACAGTGTTGAGTCTACTTCCTGTCACAGTGTTGAGTCTACTTCCTGTCACAGTGTTGAGTCTACTTCCTGTCACAGTGTTGAGTCTACTTCCTGTCACAGTGTTGAGTCTACTTCCTGTCACAGTGTTGAGTCTACTTCCTGTCACAGTGTTGAGTCTACTTCCTGTCACAGTGTTGAGTCTACTTCCTGTCACAGTGTTGAGTCTACTTCCTGTCACAGTGTTGAGTCTACTTCCTGTCACAGTGTTGAGTCTACTTCCTGTCACAGTGTTGAGTCTACTTCCTGTCACAGTGTTGAGTCTACTTCCTGTCACAGTGTTGAGTCTACTTCCTGTCACAGTGTTGAGTCTACTTCCTGTCACAGTGTTGAGTCTACTTCCTGTCACAGTGTTGAGTCTACTTCCTGTCACAGTGTTGAGTCTACTTCCTGTCACAGTGTTGAGTCTACTTCCTGTCACAGTGTTGAGTCTACTTCCTGTCACAGTGTTGAGTCTACTTCCTGTCACAGTGTTGAGTCTACTTCCTGTCACAGTGTTGAGTCTACTTCCTGTCACAGTGTTGAGTCTACTTCCTGTCACAGTGTTGAGTCTACTTCCTGTCACAGTGTTGAGTCTACTTCCTGTCACAGTGTTGAGTCTACTCCCTGTCACAGTGTTGAGTCTACTCCCTGCCACAGTGTTGAGTCTACTTCCTGTCACAGTGTGGAGTCTTCTTTCTGTCACAGTGTTGAGTCAAATTCCTGTCACAGTGTGGAGTCTACGTTCTGTCACAGTGTTGAGTCTACTATTGTCACAGTGTGGAGTCTACTCCCTGCCACAGTGTTGAGTCTACTTCTTGTCACAGTGTTGAGTCTAATCCATGTCAAAGTATTGAGTCTACTCCCTGTCAGTGTTGAGTCTAATCCCTGTCACAGCGGTGAGTCTACTTCTTGTCACAGTGTGGAGTCTACTTTTGTCACAGTGTTGAGTCTACTTCCTGTCACAGTGTGGAGTATACTTTCTGTCACAGTGTGGAGTCTACTTCCTGTCACAGTGTGGAGTCTACTTTCTGTCACAGTGTTGAGATTAATAAAACACATTTTTCTCTTTTGATGAAGCTTCGATCAGTTTCTTTTCCTTATGCTAGTCATTTTATGTCTGATAATTTACAAATTGTATCACATCCAGCGTCACTAATACATATGTACCTTGCGTGTGGCCGAAGTATTGGGAATAGTGCTTCACACACGTCAAGCGTTCCTGTAAAGTTGGTTCGAACGGAGACCTCGGCCTGTTCCGCAAACGGAGCCGTAGATGCACCCTGAAATGTACGTACACTGTATATGTAGCATGATATCGTTTATACTCGACATCGCGGTCATATTAAGTTTAAATAACGAAAATATACAGCTGTCATAAAATTAGCTCACGTTTCAAGGTCGAGGAATTAAAAAAAAATACTTTAATTTTTTTTATGAAACATGTTTTATCGTCTAATATTTATCTTTCTTGTTTGCACGGATAGAATTATGCAATATATCCTAATGTAGGAAGAAACCAGAGTACCAAGGGAAAAGAACACGGGGTCGGGCAGGTGACCCAAAATCTTTTCAGGTCATATCGGGGAATCGAACCCCGGTTGTCTTCGTGCGCTTTCCACTGCGCCTTCCGGCTGTCTTGATGACAGGCGCGTGCGCTATCCGATGCAATACTACGCCACACGACTACCAAATTAATTTGAGCTTAGTTCATAAAACTTGGTATTGGAATTATTGGTGATTATTTTGTGAAGTTTTGTTTGCTCAAAACACTCACATGGAGTGAGTTTGTTAAAGAATACCTTCAATAACCATCGATCTGCTCTAAAATTCAATTTCATTTTGAAAAAAAAAATGTAAAATCTATTTCCCATTTGCAATAAAAGCGATGGAAAATGAGCTGCTTGTAACTTAAAGATGGACAATAACTATTTTTTTTAAAATCATATACATTGTTAGAGGATCTGACAGGAGTGTTTATGGAATATTGAATTTATTAAACGAGTTTATTAATTTCATATGAAGTTAACAAACGAGTTTGATAAATTCAATACTACATAAACACGAGTGTTAGATTCTATTTATTATATTATTAGAGAAATACCACTACATAATCGTCTCTACTTTATACGACGACTGACGAAAGGCCTCTACATGTATTATTTTTGGAGCTGGCTGAGCCACAACAAATAGTTCCAGTAACCTCTCCCTGGAAAACCTTTTACATTCATCAATTAATGTTTTAATAATTATCATTACAACATTGATAATGATTTTTATATTAAAACCAATTGAATAGGCCTAGCGTTTACGAAAATAGTAGGGACGTCACATATTTTGACACAACGGCACGTGCACTGTCAATGTAAAGGTCATCATACATGTAATACATATCATCGAAGTCGACACTTTTCAAATGTTTACTGGGACTGGGGGTGACTGTCACTTTCAATAATACGGGCGTATTTTTTGGGAGAGGGCCTTTGGTGAATGGGAACCTCGATGTTTCCGCCTGTCATCGAGCCAGAAAATATACCGTGGAATCTGCCATGAAACCGGAACACTGATGAAGTTGACCGGCTACATGCGGTTGCCACTGATTGTGTGTGCGAGAAGTTGAAGTAGAATTTGAACATGCTCGAATACTTTGAATCTGTGTAAAGTATTCGTGATATCTCTTTGTGTCGATTTGTGTTGATGAGAGAAAATATGTTTATGGATGAAATATTTTGAAACCCCTCTGCCGCTGTCATCAATGCAAACAATATCTGCGGTAACTAGGTTAGTCATATTGTAGTGCGTAGGAATATGATCTGATTCCCACGGTGGCAAGACTCATTTGCATGGTAATTGTACGTGCACTACGTGCATAGTATATCGTGTTTATTGAACGGCAATATTGCACGGAAATAGCCTGTATTATATAATAAATATATAAATATCGGGTGCTCTGAAAATTCGACTTGATGTTGTCCACACTTACTGAAAACATCATTTAGTACATATGTATATATATTACCCAACGTGTGATAGAGGACGGAATTTCCCAATCACGTCGCTAAACGATAACCTAAACGAGAACAGATTTGAATACACATCTATCGGCACAGCTTTTGATCGACATAAATGAGAAAAATGTACCACTAGCGATACCAGATGGTAGAGAAACATTACTTTGTAGGCCACACCAGCGTTGTTGACCAGTAAGTCCAGCCCTCCGTACTTGTCCTCCAGGAATGTTTTCAGGTCAGCGATGGTTTTCGGCTTTGTGATGTCCAGAATGTGAAACTTAGGGTGCAAGCCCTCCTTTTCCAGGTCCGCTACGGCTTTAAGACCAAGGTCTTCATTTCTAGCTGAATAAACATTGTATACAAATTATGTTCATTTGTCGTTTTGTTACAATAACGAATTGAAACTTAGCAGAAATAGAAAAGAAAACAGACGGAGATTTTTTTTTTCTAACACGACCTACATTTACATGATATACACATACAACAGATAAATTGTAATTTTTGTTTAAAATTTTAAAAACTTAAAATATCTTTCATAAATGTTAATCTGCAGTAAGACCAACCATGCAGCATATCGTTATCTATAATGATGTCAATCTGGCCGGATATTGATTCTTTCAATTGTATTTAAACATTGAAACCTTATTTATAAATTAATATGAGCCACTTTGGTAAAATGAAACAAGAGGCCCAGAGGGCCAGTATCGCTCACCTGGATATGTTTAAAGTACTTAATATGAGGTCAAGATATAGCACTCCATTGTAGGTACTGTTTGTACATTATGAAATTTCAGAAAGATCAATCCAGTATCTCTGGAGATATAGCAGGAACAAACTTCAAATGTCACAATCCAAGACGGCGGCCTGGTGGCCATCTTGTTTTAATGAATACACGCAGGCACTACTAGACAAATTTGATGGAGACAGAATTGGGATAAATCCTCCGTTTATACAAAATAGAACTTACCCTTGGCCTGAGGATGTTCCAGTCCGTATTGACATGAAATCCCTTACTCCCTATGGTAGACTGAAGCAGAATCTTAAAGGTTTTACCCCTATTTCCCCGCTCATCTGCCTCCAGGGAGGGGAGGTTACGGGGGTTACGACTGTTTCTACAAAATCGAGTGTCCTTGGTCCAAGGATGTTCCAGACCAAATTTAGTTAAAATGTTTTAAAGGAAAAGTTGACGGACGGACGGACGCTGCGCCAGGAGGTCAGCTAAAAAATCACTGAAACTTGCAACTTAAGTCTATATGAAACTTGAATCTCACCTGTTAAAAAGACATCACCCTTGAACTGTTTACAAAGTCCGCGTACTATGGCAAATCCTATGCCTTTGTTGGACCCAGACACCTTAAAAATATCAAAACGACGAAACATTGTTACCTCCCATTACTACATGTACATGTTCACGCATGTATATTGACACTTTCGTATAAGTTCGATGTATTGTGTCATTTTTTTGTAATATGTACACATACATAAAGTATATATATCACTTAGAATACAACTGAATAACAAAGAGTATACAGTCTATCCAGTTCACGTGTTAGTTGTAACACTTCCAGATGAATGGGTCTAGTCCGTGATAATCGCAATATTGGTTAGTGTCATACCCGCAGCTAGCCTCACAGTGACGAGCTTACGCTTATGGATCCAGGAGTACAGTTTATATTGGACAAGGACACGTGTATGATATCACCTATTATATATAACATTGACAATGAAATACAATGAGAATTATAAAATAACGAAGCACTTACCACAGCTACAAGGTTGTTTCCACTCATCGTGCCAGTTTTTAATGTAACGACGGCAGAGTTGTCTCCCTTGCTTTACATAATACATTTTAAGGATGCGTAATCGTTGAAAATCCGTTGGTTAAAAATATCAAACTATATACATTTAAAATATATATGGGACAAAGAAGTAATTTCAACATTTAAAATACATATATTGTAACTAAATGAAGGTAATAAAATTTATATACTTATATATATTTACAACAGACATAAGTACACTTTTACAAGACAGGCGCATAAAATAAGAAAAATATCACTGCATCTCATTAGGTGCAAAATATGTACCAACATTAAACAAATGCAGTCTACTACATAACAGTCTATACAATATCAGTCTGAGACGACAAAACACGTGTTTGTCAGAGTATACATTGCCACAGCATCCTATTTGGAAAACATGCGTAACATTTAAATAAATTTTAAGAATGGACGAGGAATGGATCTCTATTAAATACCACAGAAAGAACTATATATTACTTTGTCGACATTAGTTATAAACAAATCTTAAGAAAATAGCAATAAAAAAAATACAGTAAAATATTACATACAGTACATATATATATATTATGTTTATGTATATGGGTCAAAGAAGTAATATAGACGGTAAAATCCCATATAACACTGGATCCTAATGGAGGTATGTCCGTCGGATACGAATTACTTAAAATAGTACATGTATATGGGGCAAAGAAGTAATTCCAACAGTGTGGACAAGTTTAGGTTGTCAAATTTTCGGAGCGATCCGCTCCTTTGTCAAGACACAGTGTAACAGAACAGTTACATGTACATATGCATCATATTACATAAAGATAGAACTGATATACTACAATTGAAAATATAGCTATATGTATATATACATTGTAGGTCTTGGGGAGAAGGAATGGCTCGACGTATTTGTACAAGTGTGAACCGGACGCAGTATTTGAGAGTTTCATAGACACTTGTATAAATGAACAGGACGTGGCATAATTGAAAGATTTTGATAGACACACTATACATTGTAGGTGTTTACAGGACGTGGTATAATTAAGATAGTTTAATAGATACACTGTACGTGTATTCAGGACGTGGTATAGTTGAAAGATTTTGATAGACACACTATACACTGTAGGTGTCTACAGGACGTGGTATAATTAAGAGAGTTTAAAAGATACACCGTACACTGAACGTGTATACAGGACGTGGAAAAATTGAAAGACTTTGATAGATACACTGTACACTGTACGTGTATACAGGACGTGGTAAAATTGAAAGACTTTGATAAATATACTGTATACTGTACGTGTATACAGGACGTGATATAATCAAGAGACTGTAATAGATACACTGTACACTCTACGTGTTTACAGATCGTGGTATAATTGAGAGACTTTGAAAAATATACTGTACACTGAACGTGTATACAGGACGTGGTATAACTGAGAGGGTTTAATAAATACAATGTACACTGTACGGGGATACAGGACATGGGATAACTGAGAGGGGTTAATAAATACACTGTAAACTGCACGTGTATACAGGGCATGGCATAACTGAGAGGGGTTAATAGATACACTGTACACTGAACGTGTATACAGGACGAGGTATAACTGAGAGGGTTTAATAGATACACTGTACACTGCACGTGTGTACAGGACAAGGTATAACTGAGAGGGTTTAATAGATACACTGTACACTGTACGTGTATACAGGACATGGTATAACCGAGAGGGTTTAATAAATACACTGTACGTGTATACAGGACATGGTATAACTGAGAGGGTTTAAAAAATACACTGTACACTGCACGTGTATACAGGGCATGGTATAACTGAGAGGGTTTAATCGATACACTGTACGTGTATACAGGACATGGGATAAATGAGAGGGCTTTGGGAATACATTGTACACTGAACGTGTATACAGGACATGGTATAACTGAGAGGGTTTAATGAATGCATTGCACACTGTACGTGTATACATGACATGGTATAATTGAGAGGGTTTAATAAATACACTGTACACTGTACGTGTATACAGGACATGGTATAACTGAGAGGGTTTAATCGATACACTGTACATTGTACGTGTATACATGACATGGTATAACTGAGAGGGTTTAATCGATACACTGTACATTGTACGTGTATACATGACATGGTATAACTGAGAGGGTTTAATCGATACACTGTACATTGTACGTGTATACATGACATGGTATAACTGAGAGGGTTTAATAGATACACTGTACATTGTACGTGTATACAGGACATGGTATAACTGAGAGGGTTTAATAAATACACTGTACGTGTATACAGGACATGGTATAACTGAGAGGGGTTAATAAATACATTGTACACTGTACGTGTATACAGGACGTGGTATAACTGAGAGGGTTTAATGAATGCATTGCACACTGTACGTGTATACATGACATGGTATAATTGAGAGGGTTTAATAAATACACTGTACACTGCACGTGTATACAGGACAAAGTATAACTGAGAGGGTTTAATAGATACACTGTACATTGTACGTGTATACAGGACATGGTATAACTGAGAGGGTTTAATAGATACACTGTACATTGTACGTGTATACAGGACATGGTATAACTGAGAGGGTTTAATCGATACACTGTACGTGTATACAGGACATGGTATAACTGAGAGGGGTTAATGAATACATTGTACACTGTACGTGTATACAGGACGTGGTATAACTGAGAGGGTTTAATGAATGCATTGCACACTGTACGTGTATACATGACATGGTATAGTTGAGAGGGTTTAATAAATACACTGTACACTGCACGTGTATACAGGACAAAGTATAACTTAGAGGGTTTTACTAATACACTTTACACTGCACGTGTATACAGGACATGGTATAACTGAGAGGGTTTAATAGATACACTGTACATTGTACGTGTATACAGGACATGGTATAACTGAGAGGGTTTAATCGATACACTGTACGTGTATACAGGACATGGTATAACTTAGAGGGTTTTACTAATACACTTTACACTGCACGTGTATACAGGACATGGTATAACTGAGAGGGTTTAACTAATACACTTTACACTGCACGTGTATACAGGACATGGTATAACTGAGAGGGTTTAATGAATACATTGTACACTGTACGTGTATACAGGACATGGTATAACTGAGAGGGTTTAAT